GGGGGGAATCCAAACTTCATACATTTGGACAAGTAATCATTTTGTTACATTTAGTTTGGTGGACTGTGCCGACTTGTCGCGTCACTCAGGGATTGTGGACAACTGTTGATAGGAATGTCAGAAGTCCCTATGCTATATAAACTATAAAGAAAGCTCCCTGCATTCTCAGTTATGGCCAATGCTGATTCACTTCTACGTTAGCTTATTTTTACCTTACCAACTTGCATTATTTAGACAGACCCAAACTTTGCAACAGGAAAAAAATAATTAAAGACCAAGCTGAAAGGCAAAAAGTAGATTTGGGTGAAACTAAATTTAGATGAACCAGTTTCTAGAGCTCCAACAATGTTAAGCCCCTTTCAAAGTCAGTCAACTTGAAATAATCTACATGGACACAAATATTTGTACATTTGTTCGCCTGGTAAACTCTCTCCAGTCAGATGCTAATTTACTCTTCCATGCAGAGATCCTTTAAAACCAAAGAGCCCCTCTCATGCTAGAGCCGTGCAACACCCATCTTTGCATTCCCCAGATATGTTACCCCACCTCAGATGACAAGCTGCAGTGTGAATTAACATTTCATGAGTCTGACCTCTAAGGCAGATTTAGATTTCCCCTTCAGAAGCAAGTCACCTAAAAGTTGTCAGAACAAACTATAAAGCCTACAGTTTATACAACTTATTTGACCTGCAGTCTAGGGATTTCGAACCTCAATATGGAACAGAATCTTCATTTTGAGGGGATGAGCAGGGCTCAAAGAATGTGCCTCTAACCTTGCCAGTTTGTCTTGGCAGCAGCCAATATGGAACCACAGATGCAGAGATCTAGCCTCTGGGTTCAACTGCTCATTTATTTAGTTCCCCCACATGTTATCCATGATGTTCAGAAAGGCAGCACATTTTAAAAAAACTACATTTGGAATGCTACAGGAAACTCACCACATGCCATAGCAGACAGGAACTTTCACAACTCAAGACTGCCATTGGCCATGGATGCTGGCATCGGATTGGAAAACCCAAATATCAACTCCATTAATAAAAAGGACCTTATGGGATTTGAGTGGAATGGGAGGAGGCATTTTATATTGTTACGATTGCAAGGTCTAAACCACTTGGCAGAAGACTGTCGGCAATGAGTGAGCACTTCAAAGAACTGGCCTACATAAGAGACTAATTGGTTCCTCTAAAGACAGCGACTGATTAATCTTTCATAGGATCACAAAAGAAATCTAGCTGGTCATTTCCCCTCACTAACAAAGGTAACCACTTTCAGACTAGACCAAAAACTTGGATGTTTGCATTTCATCGCCACAACTCATAAGCTTATTGGATTCTTGACATACAATGTTCAGCTAGGTCCAAACCAGTCGCTGTACATCAGCTTTTAAAAGTCAAGTTTACCAAATTCTGGGCACTACTTGCCATTTTTATCCAAACGGATAAAAATAGGATCAAATATCCCTAAACACTCAAATGGTTTCCCACCTTGAAAAAAAATAAAATAAAAAATGTACTAAGCTCAGAATACTTTAACGTTTAAAGATTTTATATGACAAAACCATAGGTTTAAAAGTTCAAAGCTCAGGATATTTGTGTTTGCACTGTATGGCCTGACACACTGATGAGATGTGACTGCATGTCCAAAAACAATGTCTGAATCAGCTCTTTCAAGAGATGGTGCTCATCATACTCTATCCAGAAGGAAAGGTAAAGAGGAATTCCATTGTTTTGCAGATGCATAAGGTTGAGGTAAATCAGCTTGTAGATCCTTTTAACTCTGCTTCACCAACAGGATAATCTGACACTCACCTTTTGAGGGCAGACTGAATTTCATACTATTATTTCTGATCAAGAAGTGGTGGAGAGTGGCTAATTACCTATTGATAAATAAAATTGAACTTCATTTCTCACAATGAAATTTACCTCTGCATTTCCACCAACCCTTTGGAGAGCAGTAGGCAGCCACTGTGCAGCGCTCAGGGAGCAGTGTGGGGTTAAGGGTCTTGCTCAGGAACCCAAGGTGGAGGCAGTGGGATTCAAACCTTGTACTTGCAACCTCCTCAGAGCACAAGTGCACTGCTCTAACCATAAGGCCAACACTTACCCCATACAGGGGGGGGAGATTTACCATTAGGCAATACTAGGCATGTGCCTAGGGCACCAAGTTCCTGCGGGGCCCCATAAAATTCTTTACATTTATGGTCAATTTATAATGGTCCTTCTTCGCCTTGGGCCCAGAAACTTGGTCAGAAGGAGAAAAAAAAGATAAAATAAATAAAGAGTTGAGGACACTATACCCACCCCGTGTCTGCAAGACAAGGCATCTCAGATGCAGCCTCTACTCAACCTCAAGTGAGCTCCAAGAATAGCTCAGAGCTTGAAAGTCTGAAAGGAGGCCCTTGATGCCCAGGAACTGGGAATGATAAAGACCCTAAGCTAAAAATAATCAATGTTTACATCATACAACCCAGAATTTACTTTACATATGAAGTTGAACCCAAAGTGCCAATATTACTTAAACAAAATGATGAAAAGCAGGCCGATCCACCAGTAAACCTAACCTCAGTTTAAAAATTGGTGGCATTATAACCCGTTTGAGTTGAGAGACTAGGAATGCTGCTCTAAAAATGGTTCAAAGACTGCATAATTAAGTTAATTTTAAATCAAATCTAGACTGAGGTGGTCACTTGTCTGGACAGTACATGACAATTCACAACCTTTAAGATGCTACTTTGAAGAGAGACTGCTCTTTGGCACAGCTCCTGTAAAAACCATGTATAAGGACAATGCAGAAAGCAATATTAAAAACTAAAGATAAAATCTCTCACCATCAAAGCTGCCATGTTCTGTGCAATACTTAAGTAGTTTGCCATACGTTTCCACAGAGGGCTGAAAAACAAACACGCCAGAGTTGAAGCAGTCGGGCCAGCCAGGATCCGGGGCAGCTGACAATTCCTCTCTTTCAAAGAGCTCATCTATGTTAGACAGCACCTAGGATGCAGAACCATAGTGCATGAAGCCAAAATGTGTTTACACAAGCCTTCACAGCTCGTTAAAACTTCTGGGGATAAAGACAACATTCAAGCTCACCAGAGTGTCTGCATCCATGAAAACACATTTGGAGTAATCCGTGAGGGTCCAGCAGTGCAGCTTTGTCAGTGTGACACCCAGATCAGGCCTCTTCATCATAGCCAAGTGAGCTGTGTCACCACTGTCCAAAACATCCACAACCTTCAACTCGTCAAAGATGTTCTTCAGCACAGACCTAATGAAAGAACTTTGTAATTAATTATCCATCCATGTGGTAAACAAGAGCTGACAAGAGGAGCAACAAGAGGAATAAAAGCAGGCAAAAAAGCTGGACTTTATTTTCCTTACTGGCAAGGAGCAGACACCTGTGGGCCAACAAGTACCACCAGTTTCTTGGATGTGTTGTGGTTACGAAGAGACTTGCCCAAAACCATAGCACCTCGAGCATAGTTGTCGTTTGTAGCCAGAGTCACAAAAGCCTGATCTGTAGAAAACAGAAAATTCTTTTTAATGCAATCTAAATCAGAGATGCTAAAGGAGAAAAAGCTTTAATAATTTGTCTTTTTTTTTAAGATTAAAAAGTGTTGCCAACTGAATCCGACTGTACAAGTTTTATTCACATTTCTGTTCAATTTGGAGGCAAATGCATTTCTTCATTTTACCCACAAACTTTCCCTAAGGCCCCACCCACACTCATTAAGTGTCAAAGTAAAATTACAAGGTTTATTTTATTAGAGTTGCACAAACTCTACTTTGCTGCTTTACACTAAAGGAAAGGGGAAAAAAAAAAAAAAACTACCTGCCAAACCATGCCCTCAAACAAGGATTTGCCTTTAAAATAAATTTACAAGCTAGGATGATTTAATCACTGGAATAGTTTTGCAAGGACATCATCCAAAAGGATTCCCACATGAGCTGTAGGTTAATCTCATGGTGCTAATGCAGGTATCCCTGCAAAAATAAAACTTTTAAGAACAGGCATCTAAATCTGGGTCAGTTGAGAACAATGGTTCCCATTAACTGTGCATGCCTGGAAAAGTTCTCCCTCAGCCAGAGCACAGCACCACACCTTATTTTGCCTCACACCCCCTTTTTCAATTGGTTGTGATGCTGTAGTGTTAATGCAAATGGAAAAGGATCAATTTAAACAGATTGTGTCACTTCAGGGGGTATGGATGAATTATAAAACTTCTGATTGCAGGTAACAAGTCCATGAATGCAACACAAGTGGATAAAAATCTGTGCATACACCTTGTAATTCAGTCAGTGGTTTAAAAGTTTAATATTCATTAAGGGTTTAAGATATTTAAACCACAAAAGAACTACAAAAAAAAAAAATTCCACCCTCATTAAAATCAGCTGGAGGCAATCAAACATGTCTGCTGTGAAAACTCTTAGGACTCAAGCAAAACCCAATCTCAGATTAAACAACCAGGTGTCAAATTAATCTGAAAATTAACAAGCAATGTAAGGTAACATTTACACAAATTTAAAAGAAAAAGTTGTCCTTAAAAGTTTTCAGGAAATGTGAGCTCTGTTTAACAACAGCGGTTGGTTGATAAAGTGCAAAAAAAGTTTACATACCTGCCATGGCTGAGAGGAGACGTATTAACCGAGCTACTGTGGCAGCTCGCACTCAAACACCGCTGCTCTGCGTGCAGAGAGAAGGGCTGACTAAACACGCTGAGGTGATTTTATACCACGGAGAGTGGCAGGTCACGTGACAGGGTCTCCACACACCCAACGTATGATCCTTCACACCCTCCTGCTCTGCTCCCACATATATACAATCCCAGAGACATGCATGCAAAAAAAAAAAAAAATACCAGGTGCTCCTGATGTCTCTCTGCATGCACCTTTTCTCTTAAAATAAAGATAAATATATATATGTACATGTATATATATATATCCTTAAAGGAGGCATTGAATTTTTATTTTTTTCCCTTTGAGGTAACTCATAGAAATTATTCTGCGTTAGTTTACCAAAGCTATTAGGTTTTTAGCATTTAATGCCATATTAGGAGGTAATTTATAAAGTATGATTATTCTTTTCGCCATCTGGTGGTCAAAAATATATAATCAAAAGCAGTTTTTAGTTGAGAACATTTGTATAGTATTTAAATAGATATTTTTATGTAGGGAAACCTTTTCTTTTTTGTTTTTATTTTAGCGAACAAACTCGCCACGGTTTGTGGGTTTGTGTCCACCCCCTCATAACAATACATACTAATATGATTGGGTGTTTAGAATGTGGACCAGAGGCTGAGGATGGGGAGCTGAAATGGACTGAATAAACAACAGTGCTGTGCATGAAAGGACAGAGCACATTTTACTTTTAGAGAAAGTTGATATCCTTTTTCTTTTGCTGTAAGATCAGCAGTCCCCTATTGCAGGCATCCCCAACCTCGGTCCTCGAAACCTGCTGTCCTGCAGGTTTTAGAGGTTTCCTTGCTCCAGCACAGCTGATTTTAATTGAAAGCTGATTAACAGGCTTTTGGTCTACTGCAATCATTATAATCAGCTGTGCTAAAGCAGGGAAACCTCTAAAACCTGCAGGACAGCGGGCCATGAGGACCGAGGTTGGGGATGCCTGCATTGGATTAGCGGCATCAGAGCCAGTGACATAAAAAAGCTGAACAAACTGTTTTTAGAAGGCTGATTCTGTTCTTAGGGTGGCTGGGACCTCTTGGGCTCATGGGATACTTGTCCACCTCCACTATTTCCTGAATTTTGCTAGATCGTTTGTTTCATGTTTTTTCATCATTGTACAAACCGATTAGTCCAGGTGTGTCTGGCCAATGTCATCATGGTTACTGAGACCAGACAATCCTGCACTAATTTATTCATAGAATGATGAAAAAATGGGAAACAAAGGAGCTGCCTGAAGTTCAGGAAACAGCGGAGTTGGGCATGTAGTCCACAGCTGCAGGGGCCGAGCTCAATTTGTGGCAGCACTACCTGGTAGTGGCACTTCCTGTGACAGCTAGTTCTAATAGTTGCACTTGTTCGAGTGGCAGCTGGAGAATAGTGGCACTTCCGAAGACACTTTCACTGGCATGCGACTGCCAAAAAGGTGCCAAGGGTGTTGTCGCACTGCTGTTGCTGTTTTGGGCAAACGATTTGTTATAGATGCCTGTTAGTCTATAAAAACTTCCTAGTAATTATATTTTATTTATATCATTTCTAATAAAAGCTTGTAGAACTTTCACCTGGTACCTGCCACAAGGCTTCACTAAGCCGACAGGCCACCTGCCGCACTTCCATTACCGTTTATGGGCAAATGCTTTGATTTTGGGGTTATTTATGCCTCTTCTATATGTACTTTCAATGAATGATGTGCTTGATTAACATAATGTATGAAAATGTATAAACAAAAAAAAAGTTATAAGGTAAGAGTTTGTTACTGCTCATTGGCGCAGTGGATATACTGCTGTCCAGCAGCAACAAGGTTCTGAGTTCAATTCCTGGTCTGGGGTCTTTCTGCATGGAGTTTGCATGTTCTCCCTCTGCATGTGTGGGTTCTCTCCGGGTACTCCAGCTTCCTCCCTCAGTCCAAAAACATGACTGTTAGGTTAATTGACTTCTCTAAGTTCTCCTTAGGTGTGAGTGTGTATGTGAATGATTGTTTGGCCTGTTTCTGTTTCTGTGTGGGCCTGCGATAGACTGGCGACCTGTCCAGGGTGTACCCCACCTCGCACCTGTAGACAGCCGGAGATAGGCACCAGCACCCCTCGTGACCCTAGCCGGGATTAAGCGTGAAGGGAAATGGATTTACAATGGTAACTGTTTTTGTGGGTGGTTTGTCTGGTGATAAGAAAAACCAATGTTGTGATATGAAAAAAAATCTAGTGAAAATACATTGGCACACTTATGTAGTCAGTGGCAGTTGGGTGCCATGAAGATGCCACGATAATGCCAGAGGATGCCAGGATGCTACCAAGATGCCAGACTGACTGTAAAAGCTTTCAGCATCACATGGTGGCTGCTGCTGTTTTTGTGAAAGCAATGCTGATTATCGACAAATGGGATGTCAGGACAGTTATGAGCTACTGACTGTTTGTAAATACGTACTTTCAATTGATGGTGTCATTATTGTTTTTGAATTAATAAAAAGTTTTACAAAATAAATAGTGACTGTATACTGCAGCATGTCATATATGTATGTATATGACATGCTGGAAGGATGGCAAAGACTCACTGCAGCTTACTGTGAGTTGTTAAAGAAAATAAAATACTTAAGAACACGCTGGTACTCAGTAGAATTCCCTGGCCACAAAGAAGCCACAGCATGCTAGAAAATACCATGGTAGACACAGAAAGTGTTTGAAGTTACAATGGCTGTGACAACTTTATTATTTACAAACCTGCCAAGAAGATTAATTATTGTTACTCGAATTTTGCAAAAACCTTAAGATTTTGCAGATCAATAATGACAGAGCAGAACTTGTCGTAGTAATTTTTATTTTCAAAAAGAAAGGTTTAAAGTTCAGCTGGAGAGCTGTCATCGTAATCTGTCTCCAAATTCTGCATGGCCTGAAGGGTTTCAGTTTGTTCTTTGTTGTCCATACTAAGTACTCTGGGAAATTTAACTCTAAAAAAAATATTTTTGGCACCAATCTGCTGCAGCGTGGCTGTCATTCAAAATAGCCAAAAGAGACAGGCTGTCTAGCACCCGCTTCATGGCCATGGCAGGTCATGAAATCAGTAGCAGGTCATGAAAATCAGTGGCAGGTCACAGAAATCCGTGGCAGGCTGTCTGGCACCTCCTTTGGTGGTGCGGCAGCAGCATCTGCCACGATTTTTGCCTGCTGTCTCTCACTAAGTGTGTGAAGAATGATGCTTCTTAAAATTAAAGACATTATTGATAACTTGGAGCTTCACAACAAAACCACAACATTATTTTCATTCGGATTGTTGATTCAGTTGAAGGCTTCTTTGGATCCATCAGATACGCAGCAAACTGAAAGACTACAAAGATCCCTTCTGCTCTTTAGTGATCACCAATTATTCTTTGATGAATAACAGATATTAAGAGGTCCTCCAATGTCTAATTATCCTTTAGAATAAGTCCAATAAACATTGGCGAAAATTTAAAAAGTTATTGTCAGAGACTGTTGGAAATTGATGAACATTTCTTTGCAACTTAATAACCTGATACTGATGAGGAGCAACAACATTTTTAATGAGGGCTTTACATAAAAAAGGTCCATTGGATTGACATAAAATGGAGAGATGAGTTTATATCCTTGTGCAATGACTCACCTTTCAGTTATATGACTTACTTGCATTCCCTTTACCCTGCACCAATTGTACAACAGCTGCTATTAAACAAGTGGACAGCTTTAGGTATGTGAGGGTTGTTTTGATGCTTTAACAATAGACAATGCAACCTTTTAATTTCTTAATTTTAATCGTAATGGATGTTATTCTAAAGTGTGTTAAATAGTTACTGTCTTTTTAAATTTGGGTAGTTGCAGGTTTGAACTGGGAGGGGGATGTCTTGGAAGGAGGGTTGTTTCTGTCAGTAGCTGTTTTTTATACTGACCCAAATAAACAGGGTAAACTGCCTGGTGCTTGGTTGCCATAGTGGAACGTTATAATATTTTCGCATTAATCTTTTGTTGAATTACTCCAGTTCATTTGGATTTCATGTAACACAGCCTCTTGAAAGAGTTTGTCCACATTTAGGCAGATGCTTGGCAGAGCAGAGATGATGCCAAGGAGAGCCCTTACTGTGCTGCTGGACTGAAATCTTAAAAAAAAGCAAGAAAAACAGACAAACATAATCCATTGTAACATGGCTTTATGGTTTGAATCTAAAAAAGGATTTTTTTGCTGACCCGCCTTTATTATGCACACTGCACTTAATTGGGTTTTTCTCTTTTGCATATCTTTCAACAATGAGTTCAGGACACCAATAAAAAAAAACTAATTCAGCATGTTGGGATGGATCATTGATTTTATTGTTTCCACTTATCTTGACATTCTGTCAAACACAATGAGAAAACATGGCTGGAGGTGACCGTATCCATGGAAACACAGAAGAAGATTGGTTAGAGGTTGTAAGGGGTGGTGGGAGTAGCGTTGGCAGGGGTCCTGGCTGTGTTAGCAGGGGTCCTGGCTGCTACACTTTTTAATAGAGGTCTTTTGCAAGTGGGTGGTGATATACTTCACAGTCAGCTCGGTCTCCTTACAGATTGGCTTCATCTCAGACTCGGGCAGCAGGAACCCATAGTGACCATTGTCACCCAACACAAAGGTGTAGATATATTTTACTCTGAGGTCGTAGGCCCAATCGTCGGAGCCTCCTGCAGTGGGGTGTAAGATCAAATAAAGAGCCAGGAAGTTACACAGTGCAGCATATGCTGATCTATAGAGATGCTGATCATTGGTTGTTTCTATAAATTACCTGTGAAGCATATTCCCGGAGCCATAAAACTGCATGCTTTTGCAGCCAAATGCACACGTCAGTACTTTTATGCCATGACTCGGTGAGAGTATGGAGTACCAAGATGGCGGCAGGTGGCTTTAATTTTTTGGCCTATAAGCTATTGAGTTAATAAATAGAGATCAGTGGCTTAAACAGGGCATACACTGTTTGATATGTTCAATCGTTGCAGGCTACAGCTCAAACTGTACGACAAAACTGCAGGGTTTAAAAGGTCACAGCTCACGATGCATGTTCTCACACTGTGCGGC